TTATGTATGTTTATAATACGTTTACAGAATGCATGATTGCATAGCAGACATGTGCTTGAAGTTTTATTTTATATTCACAACTGTAATATATGCAATGAAAAATGAGCGCTTATGTGAAATTATGGAAAGATCATAGCTTGAGAAACACGTATGCGCTCATTCTTTTGTTAAGCTGACAATCATTAGAGACATGTCAATCAGAAAGTGGGCTCAGGCTCTGGAGTCAAAGCGTAACTTCACTTACGCCAATTTGCTAAGAGGATGTTCAGCCTCTACAGAATCAAGCGATCGAAATAACCGCCGTTTTAGCACGCTGAATCGTAGACTTGCCATAGATCCGGTACTGGACTCGCTCGAATCTCCTCCGCTTTCATTCACGATGCACTGGCTGAGGGAAACACCAAAAATAAATTTCTTTCTTCGAAAGTTCTCTGAGTCTTAAACGTAAAATCAGGAAATCATGACATTTAAAGATCGTTATTTCATTATCGTACGTCGAAAATAATAAAAATTTCCATTAAATCACAGAGAGACCTAAAGCTAGTCATTCAGTTTCACTGACCATTTATTCTTTCAGGTAGATGAAGCAGACACGTTAGGCAGTGTTTCCCACGTTCCCGATTCTGTGCCAGTAAGGAACATAGTCTTTCAAGATGGGGCCATCTACGGGGTCTTCGGTGAGTAGGTTGAGCAATTGGTAGCTGCTTCGCTTTCCTTTCTGAAGGCACTCGCAAGATGTACCTAATTCATAGCAGTTTCTTACTTTTCAACTTGAAAAAGCAGCTTCACCAAGATTCTGTTGCATATCGGAGCTCGGAGGATGTAGAGATGCGTGAACCAGACGATTTGTCTCAGAAAACCCAGTTCAGTCGCTCATATCCGGGATTGAAGTTTTTCCGTTTTGCCCCACGACTCATAACCATAAGTGAGCATGGGGAAAAATCGAGTTGAACGCAGAGAGTTTCGTCATCAGACTTGGCCCTGCCTTAATCGCAACGGTTAATGCAGAACATCGCTGATCATGTCGTTTCGCCGGTAGATCTCACCCTCCCATTTCCCATCACCAGTAA